CCGGAGGAAGCCTCACATCACCGCCGCCTCCAGCCTGGGCGGCGGCGGGACCCCGGCGCGGGCGCGGGGGCCCCGCGGGCAGGTGTGAGGGGACAGGGACGGCTTTTCCCGTGCCTGAGGCCCTGACCAGGGCCCGGGAGCCCGGAGAAGCGTCTGTCCCCGCGAACCGCATTGGGAGTAAGGGCAGTAGAGGAGAGGGGTCGGTTACGTCCTTTCGAGTATCATCTCTGTCTGTTTGTAGTTTTGGACTTGGCGCCCTTGGGCAGAAAACTAAATCCGTGTGAATTTAGTGGTTGTGCGGACTCTGGCGTGTGCTCCTTGTTACCTGCAGGAGCTTGAAATGACCCTTGTTACCTAAGGCTGTACCATGGCCTGGGTGAGGTTGTCCCCGCTGGGTGTCAGCTGGTTCCCCACCTGAGAGAAAGCGTGCGCGGTCATGCTCTTGGGAGGGTATAACTGTCTGGCAGCATGCCCAGTGCCTGCGACCGCAAGTGCCAGGAGTGCTGACACTCAGAGGAGCAGACTGCCATCGGAGTTGAGTGTGTTCAGCACCTCAGTTGCCATCTGCCCCCAAATTCTTTGGAAAAGCGAGCTTCTCGCAAAGGATCTGCTTTCTGCATGGGATGTAGTTCATATGTGCGTGAAAACATTCCTTCTGAAGCTTATGGTGGTGATGAGGAAGAATGTTTTAAAATGGCTGGTGGAAATGATCTGGTTTAAATCTTTACTAAGCTTTTTCCAAGGAAGAGGAGAAGCCAAACCAATGAAACAGTTTTAAGGAAGAAAAGTAAAATGATTCAAGGCCCGGTCTGTGGCAATGCAGTATACGTCACTATGGAACATAGGTCTTGTCTAATTTCATCTTGTATGAGGTTTTCAGTCAAACCTTGCTCAAGTACTTCAGTGCCTTCAGGATCCTTGGTGCTCAGCTAATAAAAATGGCATCTGTTAAATGCATCTTAAGTTAAAAGGTTTTAAGGCGTTTGGTGAGAATGGACATGCTTGAAGTACTTTCTGGAGCCCTGAATGATATGAGGATAACTCTTAAAGGGTAAAAGATGCACTTATTGCTGGAAAAAAATTTTTGGGTAGCAAAAGCTGAGCAGGTGGGGGTCACGCTGGCCTGAGGGACCAATCCAGATGGCCTAGTAAGATAGTCTTGTTTTGATGACTTGTGTTCACCTGTGATTAATGACAATTTACATTTTTTTATTCTTAGATCATTAATCATTATTTTTTAGTGTCATCAAATGTTGCAACAAGAGGTGACTTAATGTCTTGGGCAGAAGTATGGAGAAGCAGCTAACAGCATATCGATGGTGGTGACTTCTTAGGCTAAGAGTAAGAGCTCTTACTCTAAGCCTAATGCCTAAGGAGGGAAATAATGACTTACCTTGAGAGTTGCCATTAGTGTTGCATGAAACACTTTCTGGAATTACATTCCATTCATTATATTAAAATATGATATTAGTACATAATTATATTGTGTATAAATATTTTTTCATATATATAAAAACCAGTGACAAAATGGGAAGCCAGCCTCCAAAGATATCCATATATTGGTCATTGAAGGCTTCCTGCTTTATAATTACAAACCACTGCTAGACCTTTTTGACACACGCTACTACCTGGCAGTTCCATACGATGAATGCAAAAGGAGAAGTATGCGGAACTACACTGTTCCTGACCCACTGGGTCTCTTTGATGGACACGTCTGGCCCATGTACTTGAAACACAGGAAAGAAATGGAGGACAGCGGTGTTGATGTTGTTTATTTAGATGGATAAATCTTTTTTTCATATATACAAAAAGAAAAGCCAGTGACAAAATGGGACGTGTGCTGCAGGAGAGTGAAGGTGCTCAATCCACCTAGGTAATCCACTTATCTCAACTTGGCCTTGCTTTGCCTGTGAATTCTTTATGCCCCCAGAATACCTGCATGGGGAGAGTCCCTGAAAGAAAGTGATTTTTTTGTGAAATGTCTCCTGTTCCTTGGCTTACAACTCTGGCTTGGTCGGCAGCCTGACAGAGACAGGCTGATAGCCAGCCAGTTCCAAGCAGTGCCTGCAAGAGCCCCTGAAGATATGTGTTGTCACACCTGACTTTTCCCTGCCAAAAGTAATGTTAACAATGGAAAGTGTTAAATGCGTAGCTGCTAGCCTTGTGCAGTTGCCTGGGTGTCTAGAACTTTCTGGGCTGTCCAGTTGAGTACACTGCCTTTCTATGAAGAAGCAGTAGTCTGTTTTGTGGCTATGTTGAGTCATAAGATGCTGCAGTCTCTGATGGCTGAGACCTTTTCTAGCACAGTGGTTAACTTAATGGCTTCTTTAAGCTTCCTCTTTAGCTTCCAGCCCTAGATCTTCCAGGCAGTCTCCCCTCTCACTTTGCAGGAGGGTTGGCTCTTGGGCCTGCAGAGTGTTCAGTCAGGATGGCACTGCTCCTGATGCTTTTCCTTCTTTGATGGGCTAGATTGCAGGAATTGTCTGCAAAGTGGTGGCTGTTTGTGTACCCCAGCTGGATACCAAGTTGCTCTCTGGCTTTGCCTGTTTATATCCCACATATATTTATGTAGTGGGAGGACATATTGACTAGGTGAGCCTATATTGTCAGGTACTGACATAGACTTTATTAAAGCTAATCTGTCATGAGCGTCCCAAGTCTGTCAACGTGGGCATCATAGTCCAGGACTAAGTAGATGGGGAGTCTGCAGTTCACTGTGGCATGTCTGCTGGTCCGCTGTTATGTCACATGAATCAAGGCGTATGAAAAGGAGTCTGGTGTTCAGTTGTCATCTAAGCTGTGGTATGGAGCGAGTTGAGAATCATACTGGACTTGTGCTTGAATTTTTTCATGCCAATAAAAACAAATCTGTTTCCGCTTGTTTCAGGAGGGCAAAAGCTTGTTCCCAGTGCTGCAAGCATGGTCCAAGAAAAGGGAGGGGAAAAGCTCCGTTTAAGAACAAAGTGTTCTTGTACTTTGACTGTATGACATTACTGACAATGGAGGTCAGTTGGTGCACAATAGCTTTTTCTCTTTGCTGGGCTTCCTCAGCAAGGCACAGGCTTCTAAGCAAAATGCAGATGTACAGACAGCAGTGTTGAGGATGTGCCTCTGTTGGGTTGCATTTGTACTTAAGTACTGCACTAGGGATGACCAGTTTTACGTGGAGTATATCTTTTTCTCTGTGATTATATTTTTTTTCTATGTTACAAGGGGAAAAAGAGCAGAAAAGCACAACCAGCTATGCTAATACCAGAGGAATGCACTACAGCAGGCAGACTACTTGCTATTAGAAAACCTACTTTCCCCATCATGTAGGTATCCCTTAAAGTATGTTAATTTGCTTCTCAATTGCATTGCCAAACTAAGCAAACTTTTAGGATACTGCTCAATTTCTTCTGTCTGTGGGTTCCCATACAGTGTTAATAGAGGCATCTCTGACACTGTGTTAGCGTGTTTGTGTGTTTTTTGGTTTTTTTTTTTTCAAATGTTAGATTACTGCCACAAAGTCATCTCCAGCAGCTGTTTGCTCTCATAAGGAGCTAGTCTGGGCGAGTCACCTGCCATGCTGATGCTTGTGAAATCACTTGCTGCAGAAATCTTTCCTATAGCTGAAATGCTGGGGATGCTTCTTGTGATCATTACAGCATGCTGCGTTTCTCCCTGTTTGTTTTTAAACATTGTCAGATAGCTTCCAATTTTAAATTTAGTGTGTCTTTACCTCTCGGTCTCACTTTTCATCTTTCTTAGTCCATTGCCTCATTTATAAGCGTGCCATTTGAGATCGCTTGCCAAGCAGCGGAGAAATCCAACCTTTCAGGAAGTGATTTATCTTTCATTAAGGCCCACAGAGCAGCCAGTAGTACCCCATAGCAATCTGATTCTCTATTTCCATCAGTTTGTAGAAAATCTGGAGGACTTGTTTAGCCTGTACGCCTATGTATTTGGCAATAGAGATGAGCCCCCGAGCAAAGATTTTTGCTTGACAGATCACAGCTCACCTGGTTAAGAACCATTTCCAATACTTTTTTTTTCCTCCGGTGTGCTGTTACCTTTGGGGTGTGCCTGACTCCCTGAGACAGCAGGGTTCACTTGTCAGCAGCACTTATGCAGACTGCCCTGCTTGCTCTTTCTAATGGGAAAACATTTCTTGTATTTTTAAACTGTGTTGTGCATGTTACTTGTGAAATAATAAGAAATGAGCTAGCCTGAGGGAAGTGAAGTTGTTAGGTCACACTTGTGTTAAGAAACAGCCTGGCTATAAACTAACATCACCTTATAGTGTATTTTGGGCTAAGGGTTTCTTGATGGCTGCAAACACTTTGAATGCAGCATCCCCCACCCCCTGATCTCGAGGCTCTCTGATTGTGGGGGTGGCAGTTAGCAGAAAAAACACTTCTTGGGTGGTTGGTTTTGCCGGTTGCACTGTGATGCACAACAGATGGTTGAAGTCATAGGTGTTTGTCATGTCCTGTAACTGATCCATCTGGGTTTAATAGCAGCCCCTTGTAACAGGAGCAGTTTCTAATAGTTTATTATGCTGCCCTGAAGAGAATGTGCTTTTGCCAGACAAGACTGTAACATTATTCATTAGCTAGGAGGTGAAGTCAAAGGTATTTGCATTACAGATGACCCTGGCAATGTGAATGGACCTAAACTTGAGAATAATATACCTGTGGGGAAAAGAGGACCTTTTGGTGCCTGTGATCAAACTGTAGGTCATGGCTGTGCAGGTTAGGTGGGATGGGCTGTTATGTCCTGTCCCAGGTACACCAGGCTGCAGTTTCCTCCCATGAACCACCATCAGGATTGCATGTGGTGCTGGCTATAAGGGTGGGGAAGGGAAAAGGAGAATGTGTAAGCTAATAAATAGGTGAATCATTGTGGGGTTTTGACTGTTTCCTCTTTAACTCACTGGCCTCTGAAGCAAGCTTTGCTGACTAATGTTGTTGCGCAGTGTCAATGGAGGCCTCTGTCTGTGTAATTGGTATCCTTCAAGGACTGCTGGGCAGAGGAGAAACGGAGAGCTCTGAAGTGAGAGAGTAAGTCTGAAGACTGCCAGCTCAGATGTTAACAAGAAGTATGTCTTAGAGATGTGCCTGATGTGAATGATGCACCCTTGTTTACAGGATGTGGACTGCCTTTCAGAATAGTATTTTAGCAAATTTGCTGCATAATCTTGAAGTAGATCCCTGGGCTGTATTAACCTAGACCCCAATCCTGTGGAAGGCCATTATGTATGTTTTCTGCAGATTTAATAATCAAGGCTCCTTGCACATAAGTAAGGTTGGCAGAGCTGGGGTTTACCCTCTGCTGGTGGTTGCAGCGCTAATTAACGCAGCATCTTTCTGGTCAACAACTGTGATCTGAAACTGCATTAATTTCACAGCATGTGAACACTGGTATTTGTGATACTGTTGATAAGCAGCTGTATTCAGAGTTTACCTTAAAGTAACAGCTTGTGAAGCTGGTGTAAAAGAGGCGGTTTAGCATTCCTGTTGCTGATGCCCTTGGTATTTTCCTCTAAAGTTGGACTTTTTGTTGTTCTTTGTTTGGATACCTGTCCACCAGGAATGACTTGCTATACAACCCGTGTACAGAGGAATTTGGAAAGCTTCTTGGAGGCAGTGACAAGGATATCCCATCCGAATGAGGAAAAGATGGCATGGGAGACCACAGAGGACCTTTTGCCCTCACTCAGAAATGGTTGCTCCTCTTGGTAGTGTTTTTTTCCTCTCCTCCTCACACAAAGCAACCCAGGAATTGACATGCAGATTTTGCTGTGTTAAACAATGTAGCATTGTGTGGGGGGTGGTATAAAACCTTTCTGTTGTTATTGAGGTTTGGAGAGCCTCCAAGGAGCGAGGGCTCACCTAAACTAGGATATAAACTTATGCTCTGAACAGGACCTGGCAGTGCCTTTAAATAGGGGAATACCAGTGATCTAATTCCATATGATTGCATATTTCAGTCATTGTCGTTCAGTCAATCGAATAATTGTCAAGCACTGCTATTAAGCCAGAGGTGATGTAAAGGTGATAAATGGGGTGAAAGGCAAAGCTCCCTCTGTTAGGGAAACAGGGGAAGTCCCTGAATTGTTCCTAATAACTTGTGATTGGTCCTAACAAAGTGTCTCTAGATGTGCTTTCATGAAAGCACAGGTCAAGCTTGGCTTCGGAGATACCTGGAGATAAGAAGCTTTTTTGACATCTCTTGTAATGTGTGAATTTTGCCTCTGAGGTCTAACTGGATCTTTATCAAGTACTGCATAGGCCCTGTATATATGGGAATTGCTTAGTGATGCATAAGTGAAACTGATCTTCTTGGCCGTTTTGTATAGGCTGTTGACTTGCTGTGTGTTTGGGTTTTTTTTTTTAAGGTGCTGGCAAATTAGAAACCTTTCCTGTGGAGATGAGGAGGGAAACCTTCTCAGGGAAAGGTAGATATGTTTTCCTTGCTTAGTGAAGTGTGCTATCTTCAGACTGTACCTTGTGTGATTAAAGTGTTCAAGCTACTTTTTTCCTGGGCAGTTGGAATACCAAAATTTCAAAATGAGACCTGTGGTGGTGTTTGTGTAGTTTCTGTTATCATCCTACTTTCTAACTTTATGTGTTAATTCAGTGGGTAGCCCCAGCTGCAGAACTATTTTTGATGTGTTCAGGAGCCTGATGTTTTCTACTAATTCCCCAAAAGTGCTTCAGGAATCCCTGCAGACTTAGGTCTGCACCAAGGTACTTAAGCCTGGCCTGCTCAGTACCAGCTCGCAAGCTGGGAGAAGCCACTTAGATTTGTGTCAATGTTACTGGCAAGTGATAAGTCCAAAAGACCTACCAGTCTGCTTTTACTCATCTCCTGAGTAGAATGGAGGTTATGGCTTATAATTTTGCTTCATGCTTTTTGATCTCTAATCCACAAACACATTCTTTTCCCCTTTGTGGGATGGATCAGCCTACAGTGTAATAACTCTTTGTAGAATAGAGCTGTTCTTTAGCATAGGGTCCAGCTGAAAAGACCATGGATGGTGCAGATCCGTAGCTAGCTGGAGGAAGGGAAATTACTCACATTGCTGCACGTGGTGTCTCTTGTTTTCCAAACTGAATATAAACAAGCTTTTCACTTGATCAAAGTTCAAGGCTTTGATAGTGCCTATATTTCAGGTGCCTGAGAATAAGTGGAAGGGTTAGATTAGGTAAAGCTAAGTAAAAATGTTTTGCTGCTTGGTTGCTGGAACATGCGTAGATTTTTGGAAATATGATTGATTGAGGGAAGAAGAAAGCTGACAGAGGACTTAAAACTGGTTTGCTGTGGCACCTGGTAGACATTGGCCCTTGTGAGTACCCAAGAGCTCCTGGCCAAGACAAGGGAAGTGGTCTCATCCTTGCTGGTTTTATGAAGCATGCTTAAATCCCCTGGGAGATCTGGCACCAAAACAAAAACTGCCTGAACTATTGACTTCTGGAGCACAAGTCAGTGGTCCCCTGGAACGCTCTGTGCAACCTTAGTGCAAGATGTCATGCTGGTGTCAACTTGTGGTGCTTCCATCTCCTAGGAAGGCCTGGATAGATGGCAAAGGGAACTATCCTCTCCAGTCTTTCTCTTTGTCCCTGTCCTCCTCATCTCCCAGGTAGGGTACTGCAGCTTTCTGGGGCTAGATGAACCTGTGCACCAGTTAGACCACTTTGGAAGCAGGAGTGTACTTTTGTGATTAGGGTAGATAAAGACATCTAAGCAAGGTGAAACTTACTTGGGTTACATGACCCTGCAATTTGTCTGCTTTGGGAAGAGTCTGCTGCTTCCTTTGTACAGCAAAGTGTCAAAAGATATTACTGCAGCACAGTGGGATGTTACAAGCTTTTGATCATTACAAAGGCATGTCTCAATAGCCTGTGCTTGTGCTGAGTCTCAAACTTTTTGACACTGTCTGCCATGAACTTGCAACTGCAGGATTTCTGCAGCAAGAGCATTGTGAAGGGAGTGTTGAATGCTCTTTCTGAGCACCAAACAAAAACTGTTCTCCCGGGTTTTGTAAAGCAAAAGGTGGCAGTGCTAGGTTTTGATTACCCATTTGAGAGGATCTGGAAGATGAAAACTTATTTTCTTAGCTAGTGTATATGGCTGAGACCATTAGCAAAGTATGTTCTTACTCTTCTATGTAATAAGTGACTTACCTGCTTACAGAGATTTTAATTTGTTCAATACAGTGGTTCAAGTCTGGTTGGAGAATGATTGTGGGAATGTATTTGCTGGTCTGCCTGTACCCCCAAATCCCGTTAGTAGAAGAAATGTAGAAATTTAGGTATTCTGAATAGTTTCTTCCTTGAACAGTGTTTCATTTTGGTATTTCCCAGAACTCTTATGGCCATAGCACTGCTGAGGATGATGTGTAGCTGGAAAATACTGAGTTACTCCTATAGGTAAAAATAGTTCCTGGAACAGCTATTGCCTTAGCAGCAGCAGCACTGAGGAAACAAGTGAATATATTGGCAGGGTAGGTTGTGATTCAGTGAGACCTGATAAAGTAAGCAGTCCTGGCTGTTCCTGAGAAGTTATGTGGTGGAGATCATGAGTCAGGATACTGACCCTTCAAAAGGGAACTGCATCCCCAAATGCCCCACAGCTCTGTTGGAGGGGAAAGATGGAAACTGCATTGGTCTGTGTCCTTTCTGTGCAGACCAGTGAGGACCATCTGTGTGCAGTTAGAACAAAGTATGCCTTTGATACTGCTTAAGTTGTTAAAGTTTGAACAGGATATTATCCTGATCTTTTGCTATGAACTCATTTCTTCCAGGTCACCTATCTGTATTGGAAATGCCTATTATAACAGTATTCCTGGAAATAGGATTAAGTCGCATGGGGGAGGAATAAATGGCATAATTGGGGAGCCAGAGTCAGTCGTCTTTGGGTGAGCTCTCCATCCCTTCGCAAGGCTGCCATGTGGGGAAAGGAGGAATCCAGGCTAGAAGGGCTACTCTGTCATCATGGGCAGGCTTTGGGACAGCAAAGGGGTTATAATTGTTAGGATGCAGAAGTGCTATTTAAAAGCACTGTGGAACTGAGTCAGCTGAAGGTCAAGAAAGCTTCTTGGCCTGAGAACAGGTTAAACTGGCTCAGCCCCATTAGATCTGGAAATGAGAGGAAGTTTACTGACACCTATGTGGTTCTGCCATGGGGGTTTGCAGGGAGTAGGGCTGCTGAGAAGTTTTGACACTTACTGGAGAGCAGAGCTTACTTTATCACCTATTTAAATTTCATTCTCCCACCCACTAGAAAAGAGCAGGTTAACCCCAGTGAGCTGGCAGCCCTCCCCAAGAGCAGGGGAAGGGGCTCTCTGCAGCTGTGCACTAGAGCTGGTGATTGGGCCTATTTCTATGCTGCTCAGAACTCTACAATGCCAAGAAATTAGCAGTTGCAGGGTCAAGGGAAACTTCAGTTTTGCACCCAAGCTTGGAAAAAATCTTGGTTGCAATCCTCTTTGGACTGAGACCAAACTTAATGATACTTCCCCTGACTGCAAATGCTGTTCTGGTTTTTAGCAGTTAGCTATGTGCAGGCCTCAGTTTGACTTAACCCAGTTAGGACTTTTTTTTTTTTTTTGCTTCAGTATGGTGATACTACTCTGAAAGAAGACAAATTGCATGGTGATCTGTTCGCAGTGATCTGATGACAGTGTCTGTTGGCTCTGGGAACACAAGTTGTGTGCTCAGGGGCTGTTGTCTAGCTCAGCTCCTGGAGTTTCCCATGGGGCCGTGACTCGATGGCTGGTGGAAGTCTGTCAGTCTCTTGGTGGCTGTGTATCTGAACTGAAACATCTGTGAAGCACTGAGTTGGGTCTCTGAAGACTGGCAAGCAGAGTTGGAAAGTACTGACTAGTACTCAGTGTTTTTTTTATTATTAAATATGCTGAGGCAGTGTTTCTTCAGAGGAACTGTGTGTGGGTTTGGATATATCTGAAGAAGGTGGGTGATGATTACCTGGTGAAGATATTCTTTGAAAATCACAGCCTCTTTTTGATTAACTGTTTGCTTTCTTAGGTGACTTTTTTTCTGAAGTGGATGTATGTTTGTGAAATTAATATTCTCTTTCTCTTCAACAGTGGGCCACTATACGAATTGAAAAAGGTGTCAAAAAGCCACAGCCACAGATGCTGAAGACTCCTGCTGCTAATGGTGAGAGCTTGGGTAAAGTCAAATTGATAAGACCGATGTTCCTAAAGTAAGAGAACAGAGTCCTTTGCAAATGGGGAAGTTAGATGTGTGCATGAGAGAACTGGAGAAGAGGTGGGGTGGTTACAAGCATCTGATTGTTTTGCAATGCTACTGGTACAACAACTGTTCCTGCAGAATGAAATGCTTCTTTTACTGGCTTGTACTGAATGGTTGAAAAAATGGGATGAGGAAATGAAGGGTATGAAATAACATCGTTTAACAAAACAAAGTCGAGCTTAAGATGGAGATTGTCTTCAGTGGAAAGAAAATTTTGAGTTACAGTATGAGCTTGATTTGTGTCTTGAAGTCTGTCTTTAGGTCACTGCTTGCAGGGCTGCTGGCCAACTATCACAGTCCTAATAGCATCAGAGTACACTTGATAATGTCTGAGAAGATTGGAATCTTTAGTGGACACTGCTTTTCTTTCTGAAGCTCAGTACTTGTCCTGTTGTAGAACTGCTGGATGGAAATGTGTGGTGTTCGACTTGTTTGCTTTTTTCAGTCTGCTGCTATTCATCTTTTGGCCCTTGGAGTTACCTCAGTGTTTGCCAGATTAACTTCTTACACTACTTAGCTGTAGAAAGACAGCTGAAGAGTTGCTTCATATTTCTTCCTTTAGCCTAATTTTGAAATTGGTTCTTTTACTATATCTTAAGCCATACTCTGTGTGTCGTGGTAGGCTGTACTAGGTCAGAGTTGGCTGTAAGACTTTGGAGCTCTAAGTGCAGTGAGAGCAGCCTGACTGCCCAGGAAATAGGAGAAGGCTGAACAAGGCGTTGCAGTCAGCACTTGGTTTTCTCCTGATTCCTGACTGCCTCAGTATTCCTATTGATTTGCTTGTTTCTGACAGCATTTGACAGCAATGTTAGCATTTTCTGTGTGGTCCCTCATTAGGCAGCACAGCTGGAAACAGGACCAGCTTGCCAGTTAGTAGACAAGTCAATTGTTACCTGATTCTACGAATTAGCTCATGTGAACAAGATACAATAAAGGGGACTGAACTGCTGAACTGACTGTGTGTGCTTCATCTTCAAGAGTATCCTTATCAATACTGTAAACACTGGCACTGTACTATCTGCAGGCCAGGCATGAAGCAGACTCTGATGGTAACAGATCCAAGTGTCAGTTAGCACTTGTAGTAATAAACTGGAGGTACTGCACAGCAACTCTTAGAACAGGTTAAAATTTGTCTTATTTAATTGCTAACTTTAAAGTGGCTGAGAAAAAGTATGTACTGTATCACCTGCCAGTGTCCTGAAAGTTGTGGGGGATTTTTTTGCAGTGGGAGGAGGGCAAGGTGAGTATTCCTTCCAAATGTCAGTGCCCTGCTATCTATGTTTCACAGGTTGTCAGTAAATGCAGCAAGATATCCCTTTTCTTCCTGTACAGGTGATAGTGTCCTGTCATGTCATGGGTCAGTGAGAGGCCAAGAAATCCAACTGCGCTGCTTTAGCCCCACAATAGGAGCTCTTGTCTTAGACATATGATCATTCTGGCACATAGCTTTTTCTTTGCTAGAAAAGCAAAGTAAAGGAAGAGAGGACCCAGCTAGTAGATCATGTTTTATGAGCTATTTTTCTGTAAAGCTACAAGTACCTCTTCCTGTGTGTGTGTGACTGAGGTGTACAGTGCTAATATGTATTGTAGTTCAGAACCTGGATTAATCTGGTTGCACTCCACTGCCTGGAGGTCTAGTGGTAGTAAGTAAAAATGGCCTGAGGTAATTAATTTAGATGATTGCATGCAAGCAATGTTCAAGCGGTCTTGTGGATTGGGATACACAATTGCGATGGTGGCCTGAAGCAGTTTTTAATGTCCTTTTATATTTGAAATTAAAGTTAAAACTGTTCTCAACTGTAGGCGGCTCTTACTGCGGTAAGCTATAGTCTAACTATTCCATATTTGAGAAGGTATGGGGAGCAGGGAAGATGTGGAGTCTGCACTGCCAAGCTGTGCTCCATATGTTGCTCTTGGGAGCTTTTTAAGCATAAGACTAACTGGCTCGTGATTAGGAGTCTGGGTTCCTGTACATGGATGAAAGTACTTAGGGCCAGGGTAGGTGTAGGTCTAACAGAGCAGTATGTAAGTTGGCATCCCCTGAGGTGACAGAACATGAGCAGATGGAGAGGTCCAATTGCATTACACAATATTTACTGAGGGAGGAGAAATTCCAAGTGATAATGAATTACGGAGTGGCTGATTAAAACAGGGTAAAGGTAAGTGTCTGTATGTGTACGCATATGCATGTTAAGTGCTGAAGGGGAACGTGTAGCACCTTTTCCATCTTTGCTGACCATCCAGTCCTCACTAAGAGGTAAGTCAGGATAGGAAGGAGCGTTGCAGATGTATGTGCAAGGGCAAGTCTTCCTGTTCCCAGGCAGAGCAAAAATGGCCCTCCCCAAGGACCTTAAAATCCAGTGTTCTTCAACATGAAAGACAAGAGAGCATGACTGAGGAGACACTACCTTTCTCTGCAGTACCAAATCCGGTGTATTTCACATATGTTGGCAGAAGTGGCAGCCGATGCTCCTGTGTTGGTGTGATAAG